GATGACAACGACGACGACGATGACGACGCCGACGACAACGACAACGACGACGCCGACGACGACGACGACGACGTCAACGACGCCGACGACGACGACGACGGCGACGACGACGACGACGCCGACAACGACGACGACGACGACGCCGACGCCGCCGACGACGAAGACGACGACGACGTCGCCAACGAAGACGACGACGAGGGAGGAGGGAGGACGACGATGGCGACAACGGCGACAACGACGACAACGATGAGGGAGGAGGGAGGACGGCGACGACGCGAACGACGAAGAAGGAGGAAGGACGGCGACGCCGACGACGGCAACGACGAGGGAGGCGGGAAGACGACGACGACAACGACGACGACGACGACGACGGCGACGAAATAGGAGGGACGACGACGAGACGCCGACGACGGACGACGACGACGACGACGACGAGGGAGCAGGAGGAAGGACGACCACGGCGACAACGACGACGGAAGCGACCACGACGCCAAAGAGGACGACGACGACGAACACGAAGAAAGACAGAGGACGACGTAGGCGACGACGACGACGACAACGACGCGGGAGGGGGGAGGACGGCGACGACGACGACGACGACGACGCAAGAGCGCGCGCGCACGCTTTTGTTGAAAATCCGTGTTGCGAGACCTTGGGTTTTTGCATGTTTTTTGGACGCGCGATTTCGAAATCCTTCCGAAACCGATGGGTTTTGAAGGATTTCGGCGTACGCGCGCGACCACGCGCGCGTCTGCACTGCGTTCCATTTTTTGCAGAGGATTCAGAGGATTCGCGACGGCACACGCGCAAGGGCGTTCGACAGATTTCGACATGCGCGCGCGCGCGAAGCCCGTTTGGTAGCATGTTGCGAAAATGTTTTTAAACATGGTTTTCTTAAGATTTCGCAAGAGCTCGCGCGGAAGCTTTTTTAGCAAAGCAGTGTTGCGAAACCGCGTGTTTTCCGAATGTTTTTTGTGGAAACTCGATTGCGAAATCCTTCCGGCACCGAAGGTTTTTGAAGGATTTCCGCATGCGCGCGCGACGATTCGCGCGTGTGCACTTCGTCCCATTTGTTGCAAGGGATTCGTGAAAAAGTGTTACGTTAGAACCAAAAATGGCACCGCATAGTGTGTGTGTTTTCTTACAAGGGACCCTCAGGGGGGGAAAAGCGGCCTGCTTGGGATGGTATGGTTGCATATTTAGGATGGACGAGTGTGCAGAATATATATATATATATATATATATATATATATATATATATGAAATCACACTATCCCAGGGGGAAGCGTTAAGTCCGGGGGGGGGTAGAGTCTATTCTTTCTTTAGAAAATAAAATAGATGTGGCGGTGCGCAACCGAAGTGGTACAATCGGTCCGGCGCAATGTATGTGGTGCAATGCGTAATTTTGTTTGATGGCATGCGCGTCTACATATGAAAGAACGGCTTATAGCACGACAGCGAACCGCAACAATCAACGACAACAGCGACGATGACAACAACACCAACAACAGTAACAACAACATCATCAACAAGAACAGCACCAACGCCAAAAACACCGATAATCATCACCAGTAAATGACGGCAACAACGACGATGGCATCAGCAGCAACAACAACAGCTACAACTACAAGACACGACAGCAACTAACGACAAACGCAGTTACTACAACTACAACTACACCTACAAGCACACAAGCAACACATATAACGACAGCAGCAACAACAACGTGCTTCTCGGCCCCCGAGAGGGCACCAAGACAATCCCGAGAAGCTTCCAAGACGCCTCAATATTTCCACGGGGCCCCCAGGAAGCCCTGAGAGGCCCCCAATAAATCCCAACTGACTTCAAAAGGCGCCCGAGAGGCCCCGGTCGGGCCACAAGAAGTTGCCCCCTCCCCCGCGTCCGCATCTCCAGGAGATCCCCCCCGCCCCCCCGCAGAGCTCCCACGAAAGCTCCAAGAGGGCCCCGAGGGGTCTCCGGGTCACCCGGAGATGGTGCTGCAGCATCTCCTTGTGGCGCAGAGATTTTCTTGGACCTTCTTGGAGTTTTCTCGGGGCCCTCTTGGGGCTTCTTGAGCGTTCCCAAACCGTCCTGGAGCCCCCCGAGAGAGCTCCAAGAAGGCCCCGAGAGGTCTCCGGGCCACCCGGACATGATGCTACGGCATCTCCGGCGGACCTGGACATTTTTCGGGACCCTTTTGGAGGCTTCTTGGGGCCTTCTTGGGGCCGCCTCCAACAGGCCTTCAAAGGGCCCCCCAAGAAGCCGTAAGAAGCCCCCAAAAATGTCAACATACCTCAAGAGGCGCCCAAGAGGCCCTTATCATGCTCCAACAAACTTCCAGCAGGCCCCAAGAGGCCACCAAAAGGGCTCCCAAGAGGCTCGGTGATCGTCTCAGACATGTACGAATTCGTACAATGTTCGGATAGATGGTGACCCCAGCGCCGCGTCTACTTGCGAAGGCTCTCCGCAAGGCTCCGGTGGCCCCCTGGGTCCCCGCCTGGGGCCGTCTTGGGGGCTATTTGGGCAGAGCTGTGGGCCTCATGGGTCGTCTCGGTGCCATTTTGGTTCGTCTTGGAGCCCTCTTCGGTGGCCTCTTAGGCCGTCTTGGGGCGATCCTGGCGGCCTCTTGGGCCGTCTTGGAGCATTGGAACCCAGAAAAAGCGAGAACGCTAAAATTCGCCAGAAAACCACGAAAAAGAAAAACTATGGGTCTGGCCTCGTGCAGCCCCGAGGGGGTTCTCTTGAACCTTCCGGGGGCGTCTGCAAGGTCTCTTTGGCCGTCTTGAAGCCATTGTGAGCGTCTTGGGGCGCTCTGGAGCCGTCTCCGAGCCGTCCTGGAGCAGCGCAGTCGCATTCAAAGCTCACGCGACGTCTTCAAATACCTCAAGTTGGAGCTCTCCTGCAGGCCCTCCGAGCCTCAAGCCGAGCCCTGCAAGAGGAAGGATGTGTACAACAGCGGATACATGGTGACCCCCCCCGCGTGGAAGCTACGCAAAAGTTTCTCTTGCGGCCTTCTTGGGTCTCTCTTGGCCCTTCTTGGGGGGCACGAAACTTAGCACACGTTTAACACAAGATTTTCTCCAACAAGGAGGCGGTTTGTATTAGATGTGTGTTGAATTCTTGGCCCTTGTGGAGGCCTCTTAAGGCCCTCAGAGGGCTCCCGCAGGGGCCCAAGAGGGCCCAGGAGGACCCCGCGAGGGTCCCAAGATGGCTCCAAGAGGGCCAGAATTTTTAGCACCAATTTAACACAAGACGCTCTCCAATAAGGAGGCGGTTTGTGTTAAGTGTGCGTTGAATGCTTGGCTCTCTCGGTAGCGTCTTATCGGCCCTCAGAAGGCCCCCGCAGGGACCCATGAGGGCCACAAGAGGGCTCCAAGAAGGCTCCAAGAGGGCCCAACATTCAGCACAGCACCAGCACCAGTACCACGGGCAGCCCTGGCAGCACCAGCAGGATCAACGTCAGTGACAGCAACATTTGTAGCAACAACAACGAGAGAGGCAGCAACGGAAAGATTATTCCAAGATGGACCAAACAGAGGTTTTGGAAAGGATCACGAGATTACCCTTGTCGCCCCAAGACGCCCACCCCTGCTAATCAATGGCCCCAAGAGAACACCGAGACGAACCCATTGTCTTTCGATTGAACTAAGGGTACCGCGCGACCCCGATTTGACTCCGAGGTGGCCCCAGAACGATCCCAGGAGTTCGAGGCGACTTCGAGATTGCCCCAAGATGACCCTTTTGAACCCTAGTTGACCCCAAGATTGTGTCAATATGGCTCCAATGTGACTCCGAGACGTTTCTTACTCCTCCCCTTGTTCTTGGCTTGGGCCGATAGGACGGATGGGGGTGCTGGCCCTCCACCCCCTCGTCGTCGTTTTTTTCCTCATCACCCTCGTCCTCGTTGCCCTCGTCGTCGTCGTCGTCGTCGTCGTCGTCGTCGTCGCTGTCCGCTTGGCCCCCGTCGGCCCCATACATAGCAGAACACCGAATCCCGAACACAAGCCGAATCCATCCGTTCTCTGATCGCGCTCCCGCCTCGCTCCCGCCTCGCGGGCGCCGCCTTCATCCCACCACTTCTCCCGGAGAGACGGCAGTCGAGCTGTTCGACGTGCGTTTCTCCATTTTCTACGACTTGGATCCGATTCCCTGGTCACGGATGTGTCGAGGGGGAGGATCGACCACCCTTCTCATAGTGGGCAGCGAGTTTATTGTTTATGCGTTTGCAGGGCGATCTGCAATGCCACCTGTGTGTTCGACATGGCGGAGGCCACGCTCCGGGGCATACACTAAGCCAATTCTTAATTCACTGCGTAGTCGGCCTCTCCACGTCGTCTATCACATTGACGGGAGGCATAACACAGCAACAGTGGCCACAGCAGTTGCAGCCATGCGGTTGCGGTTGCGCGGGGTCCGGCAGCCCATCGTATTTGGGTCTATTTGTTGGCCAGCCGCGGGCATCGGCAGCCAGACGGGCAAGATCTGGGGGCTCCAAGTAACCCCCCTTCTTGGCATCATCCCTCGCCTCCAGGGCTGATGGACTGATGGATCGCGCGCTGTATCTGCACACGTGTTCACCCACACTGCGCGGCCATCCCTGCTTTCCACGGGGGGCCCCCCGGCAGGAGAACAGGTGGTCGGCGCCCATCAGTATATGCTACTGCCTCATACAATGTCTTTGTTTTTCGTCCTCATCGTGTTCGTGGTCGTCGTCAGCATCTTATTTCCCTTGGCCTCATGTTCCTTCTGCTTCTCCTTCTGCTCCTATTCGTGTTCCTGCTCCTGCCCACCGTCCTCCTCCTCCTCCTCCTCCTCCTCCTCCTCCTCCTCCTCCTCCTCGGTCATCGCTCGTTACTCCGCTGCCTCGTCCCGGTCCTCGTTGTCGTCGGCGTCTTCCTCACCCTTCTTCTCACTTTGCTCTTTTGCCCCCCTTCCCCCAGAAGCAGGCATGTAATCAGGGGATTGCACGCGTGGGTGCAATGACACGTCGGCCGCCGAAGGTCGGCCCGGAACATGGGGTTCGCCGCGCTCATGTCCGCCTTGCGGCGGGACGCGAATGCGACCAGGACCGACCATACCTCGCAAGGGCCTCGCGGCCGGCACTGCCGACCCTGAGCAGGAATCAGCGAGAACAGAAGAGGCGGGATGGGGGGAAGGCTTCCTAAAAGCACCCCTGCTGCTCAGAAGGCGCGGGCCTTCTCTGCAGATGTGAGGCCGGCGACTTCTGAGAGGCAGCCTCCCTTTCTAAGAAGCTTTCCCCCCTCCACCTGCCCCCCTGTGTGCGCCGCCAAGGGAGGGGGGCGGCGGGTCAGGGCAGGCCCGGGGTCCTTGGCATCGCTGGGACGTGTGCATGTCTCCTTCGGCGAGGACCATCGAGGAGCATCCTGGAGCATCTGGCGAACAAAAGCCACGCACGAGACCGAACAAAAGCACAGGGAATGGACGTCCGAGCGCTGGCGAGGGTCGGGACAGGTCGCTCCGAAGCGTTCAGGGGGAGGAGGAGGAGGAGGAGGAGGAGGAGGAGGAGGAGGAGGAGGAGGAGGAGGAGGAGGAGGAGGGGGAGGAGGAACAGGTCGCTCCGACGCGTTCCGGGCCGCTCCCTCGGAGCGCTTTGGAGCGCTCCGGAGCCGCCGCGACGCCCGCTGCATGGCTCCAGACCAGACCGGCCAGCTCTAAGAGATCCCTGGAGGAGGAGGAGGAGGAGAAGGAGGAGGAGGAGGAGGAGGAGGAGGAGAAGGAGGAGGAGGAGGAGGAGGAGGAGGAGGAGGAGGGGGATGATTTATGGTGGGGGCGTTCGTTAAGGAGCATGCCCAGGAGGCCTCAGACCCTGGAGGGTTCCTTCTCTGACGAGGGCGGCGGCGACAGCCGTGGCCAATGCACGATTGGGCTTCCACTGGCTTCCAGACCCTGGATTCCTTAGCTAAGGGTTCCTTATCCAATGCCCCCACCGTATCCCGATGCGATGTTCTTCCGATCTTGGCTTCTTTCAGCGGCGGGAAGGGCTCAAGGAAAAGGACTCGTGTTCGACCCGTTTGCGACGTTAATTTGATTTTCTTTGCATGGTAGCGCGCTTGTTTGGCCCTGGTTGCTCTGGATAGTATCAGAACATCCGGCTCATCCCGGCACCGTGGTACAGACGCCTTGTGGATGCATTTTCGGGTCTCTCCGAGAGCCTCTGAGGTGTGTCCTTTGAGGCTTCGTCGGAGCGAGCCTCTTGAAGGCCTTGGGCTCTTGGAGGCCTCTCGAGGGCCTCTTAAGGGTCTCTTGCAGGCCTCTGGAAGTCCAGGGTCCATCTTGGAGGGCAGGCTCGCAGCGGTCCAGCGGTCGCGCGCTTTCGCGGCCCCCCTTGGCGCCGTTTCGAAGGCCTCTTCGGCGGCTCTTGGGAGCTTAAGGGGCCGTTTAGGGGCGCGATTCTCAGCCTCTGGGATAATCCTGCACGTTCGGCAGGTAGAATTTGTGAACATGTTCGGAGGGAGGAGAAGCGATACCAACACCACCAGGGGGCTCACCTCCAGCGAGGAGGTCCACGATGCCTCCCCGAGCTGGAGGCTGGGCATGTCTCGAGCGAGAGAGGGAACCACCCCAACAGGGAGACCCCCCATGCCTCCTCGTATCTCCTCGCCCTGGTGGTGTTGGTGTCGCTTTTCCTTGTTCCTACATGTTGACACCGTATGAGAGCCTTTTTGTGAGTTTCGCGTTCTCGGCCCTTCTCGGGCCAGCCACGAGGCCCTCCAGGAAAAGGCCCGCGAGACTTCAAAACGCGGATCCGGCACGGGTCCCTATGAGACCTTTTTGGGGCGTGCTGCAGGCTTGGACTCCGTGCTACGAATCATCGGGAACTGGGACATATACATTGCCAGTGGCGGGCTGTTTCTGAATCCCAGGACTTTTTGAGGGTTGGGGGCGACGTCGGGGCGGTGTGGTGTATACTGGTTGTTCCGTTTCCCAGGAACCAGCGAAAAATGTATACACCAGGGCCCCGTATACACCAGGATGCGCTTTCCTGTTCGAATTTCGGCGCAGGGCCGGAACAAGCGTCGGTGTATAGAGCTCGGTTCCCTAAATCACGCTGCATACGAGCTCGAGGAGACGGGAGACATCACATCAAATGGGAAACCTCTGCTTCGTCCCATCCTCTGCCGCACACTCCCTGGGATCCCCCCCCCCGTACCCTCCTGGGGTATCCGGCACTCCCCTCCCGCCCTGCCGCGGAAGGGGTAAAAGGGAAGGGGCTTCCATTAGACGCGATTGCGGCATTGTTCGGTTTCCCCTGGGCTGGCGAAGGAAGCTCCAAGGTGGCTGTTGGGACATGGGGGAACAGCGCGAAGATTGCCGGAGGTGGGAGGCCGGCGTCCCCCCGCACACGCCGGCAGGGTTGGCGGACCTGGACTCGGCCGAACACGTGAGGGGGGACGCCGCTCGCTCTCGTCTTCGCTCGGGAGCCCGAGTCGAGCATCGAGAGCATGGCTTGCCATTCGAGTCTGTTTGGGGAGCCGTGGCGTCCCAGCCCCCCCCGCCCCCGCCTTCCCCGCCGGCCTGTCCCCAGAGCGCCGCAGGGATCGCGGAGGGGGGCAGCGCGCGCCCCCCCCCCCTTTCCTTTGCCCCCCCCGCCTGCCAGCACGTGATGCGCTCGCAGGCTCTGGTTCGGTCGGGCTTGTCACTCTCTACAGGGGGAACATTCCAACATAGTATAAAAAAAGAGAGTGGGGACGATTTTTTTCTTTTTTCTATGTTTGACCATTTGGAATTTGGTTGGGGTATTTGCTTGTACTTTTCGTAAAAAAAAAACAGAAAAAACGCCCTGTAGGGGGACATGCCCGACCTGATACAAGCACGTGATGCGCTCGCAGGCTGTGGGGAGTCACGCGCACCTTGCGGCGACCGGAGACATGCTGTGGCGCGGGCCGCTGAGGTGCTCACGGGCATGGTCTGGTCCGGTGTCGCTCCACGCGGGTGTCGGGGACGTCTGCGCAGCGTCGCTGCCCGTGGCCCGTGCTCCCTGGGCCCTGTCCTTGCCATCCACCTCGCTCCTCCTTTTCGGGGCCTGCGATAGTTGACGACACGTCCGCGACGGCCGTGGTCAGGGCATGCAGGTGCACAGTTTTTGTCCGGCGACTCCTCCCACAGCTGCTGCTCCGTGGGCCTCTGCGCAGGGGAAGCAGGCCTCGTCCCCCCAATGCCCCCCGTCCTCCGTCGCCTCCCCCTCCACCCTTGGCCCTTCCTCTCTCGCCCCTCCCGGTGCCCTTTGGAGGAGGACAGGACATGCGGCATGCGGCCTGCCGAGCCAGACCGCGCCCGCCCCGCGCTCGAGCGCCCAGTCGCCACGAGCCCCATCCGGTCCCAGCTCCGCCCCGCGCAGGATAAGGCTCTACGGCGAGCCGACGCCCCCGCCGTCCTGCGTCAGGTCGGTGGCGGGGGCCAGGACCTGAGGATCTCCAAGCAGCCGTCAGAGCCGCGGTCGCCCCCCCCCCCACAGCTGCTGCTGCTGCTGCTGCCCACCGCTCGTAGGAAGCAGGGAATGCTGGGACTCCCAGGGTCAAATAAACTTTGGGTATCCCACTCCTCCTCCTCCTCCTCCTCCTCCTCCTCCTCCTCCTCCTCCTCCTCAATAGTCGACTGGCTTTCCCCCGTTCCTTCGTTGTCAGGGGGCGGGCGCACAGCCGATCTGATTTCACCGCTGCCCGACATCAAACGTGCACCCAAAATTCTTCAGAGCGATGGGTGCTCTAACTGAGAGCTGGGGTTATGATGCTCCAACCTACTTTAGCCTTGACCACCAGGAAGAATTTCGAGCGCCCCCAAAAAGTGCCGAAACTCAAGGGTTTTCACGTGCCGGGCCCTGGGAGACACTCGCCCGACACTGCTTCGACACTGTTTCGACACTCTTTTGACACTTTATTCGGGTGCTCGAAATCATTTCTGGGATGTGGTCCTTACGTTGGATGGGGACATCATAAAGCTGGGGGCAAGTTCGTCAGATGAGTGACTCGTCAGAGGTGTGACCCCCCCAAACCCGTCCTCCCTGCCAGCTCTGGAAGGGGGGGAGGAGCGTCGATTTCAGGCGGGAGACGAGGCGCATATCCTGCTCGTGCTGCTCCTCCTCCCCCCTCCTCTTGCGAGCTGTCGCATCGAGTCATTCCTCTGCTTCCTCCCCCTCCACTCCGCCCTGCCCTGCCGCGGCTCCGTCGATCCTAGGGCTCCGGCGAAGCCCCCAAAGCGCTGCTGGCAGGAAGAGGCGAGGCGCGGCTGCTCCGGGCCCCCCATTTCTCGGGCAGGAGGCACGCCGCCATGCACCAGCTCGACTGCGCGAGCCAGGCCGCCTTGAGAGACAGGATTGGGAGGAGGAGGAGGAGGAGGAGGAGGAGGAGGAGGAGGAGGATGCAGGTGGAGAGAGGGGAAGGAGCAGAGGGAATCAGTGTGGGGGGGTCGGCGGCCGAGGGGTAGGACGGGACTCTGACCGCCAGGGAGGAGGGAGGAGCCGGAGCAGAAGAAGGATGGGAGAGGGGAGCCAGGGCGGACGGGCGGACGGAGGACGGTGGAGCAGGAGGCAGGACGGAGGGGGGGGGCCAGAGGAGGAAAAGGTCACCGATCGCGTTCGCCAGGCCTCGGTGCCGCCCACGCCCCTCCACGCGGCTGGCAAGGCCACCGGTGCCGTGGTCGTGCCCGGCGCGCAGAGAGGTGGTCGCAAGCACTACCCGTACGGCTCCGACCTGGGCGATTCCTCCATTCCTCCCTCCCCAGGCGCCCCCGACCGGCGGGACACAAAAGCCGAAGACGTCGGCATGAAGCAAACGGGTCTTTGATCGCGTTTTTATCCTCTCGCGATAGCGGCCGTTACCTGGGGGGAGAGAGGGATGTGGTCGGTAACGTCACGATTCGCGCTGGTGCTGTCTGGGAGTCTGCCACCCCTGGTCGTTCTCAGACGGCGCAGGCGCGAGTCGTGGCATCACCCATGGCCCATGGGGGGGAAGGAGGGGGGCGTCCCTGATAACGGGCGGTGTCGCGACTGGTTAAAGAACGCGGTGCTGAGGGAACTGGTCCTGAGGTTTCTCGGTTTCTCGCTGTTTTCGGGTTCGGGTCTCCACGGGCCTCGGGCCAGTCACAGAACGCCTCAGGATGAAGAGGTGGTCCCGGTGGAAGGCCCTGAGGACCCATCTCCCTGTGGCCCCGCCTACTTCATGCCAACAAGATGGCGCCGCCCCCATGGTTTGCCCCTCACCGGCGCAGAGGGCCCCCCTGCGGGTTTTGCGCCTGGCCCATCGCTCCCAGGTCCTCATTCAATCATTCTGGGGACAACATGTCTGAGGGTCTGAGGCTTAGGGGTGTTCAAGCTCAGTCCATCTCAGCACCGTGCGCGCCAATCTTCCTGACCTGCTCCCAGAGTTCTGGGAGGTCCTGCAGGCGGTTTTGAATTCCCGCATATGTTCGGTGACTGAAGCGTCTTCCCACCAGCCGCGCCACGTTCTGCCGGTAGCGACACATTCAAGTTTTGAGTGACACAAGCTTCTGCGAGCACTGAATAGGACACAGCGTTTGCGAGCCACGAATACGGGTCAAGCGTGCTGCTGTGTCAGGGTTGCAGCTAAACGGATCGGGTGTTGTTGTCGTGCCTGGAGTAGCCGTCAATTGTGCGGGCACCAGCCACGAGTCAGAGTCAGCCTTTCTCCCCCTTGATTGAGCCGCCCGCGTGCCTTCGGCCAGCCTGAGGTGCCGAGTCGCGCATCGCCTGGGGCGAGCCCCCTACTGGCGAAGGCTCGTGTTCGAGCACGCTCAGGCTGCAGACGGCGGACTCCGTCCGACCCGGCGCCGGCTGTGGGGCAGACGGGGGTGACGAGAAGTATGACGACGGCGACGTCGATGACGATGATGATGGTGATTGTGGTGGTGGTGGTGGTGGTGGTGGTGGTGGTGATGGTGATGGCTATGGTGGCGGTGGTGGTGGAGTGATGGTCATGGCGATGGTGATGGTGATGGTGATGATGCTGGTGATGGTGATGGTGATGGTGGTGATGATGGTGATGTTGGTGATGATGGTGATGATGGTGATGTTGATGATGATGGTGATGGTGGCGATGATGATGTTGTTGCTGATGGCGATGATGATGATAATCAGGATGAGGATGATCATGGCTGGTGGTGCTGGTGGTGATGATGGTGATGTTCATGATGATGCTGATGATGGTGATGGTGGTGGTGACGGTGGTGATGGTGGTGATGGTGATGTTGATGATGTTGGTGATGATGGTGATGATGATGATCATCATCATGACAATGACTATGACGTTGTTGCTGATGATGATCCCCCTGTCGATGGACATCGCGCAAATCACAGCTGCCATCCGCCGACCGAGTTCAGTGGGGTTACCGACGCCCTGGCCAGCCACCAGACCCCGAAGGGTTCTGGGGGATCCTCCGAAACAGGCGAGGGCAGCCGCATCGACCGCCGACCCAGAATTTCGAAAGAAGATCCAGCCGTGGCGACGAGGAGGGCCCCGGTAGATCGTCGTTGTCCGCCCTGGTTCACATGCCCGCCAGGACGGGCGGGGCAGCGGCTGCCTTTGTTCACCCACCACCGACGCGTCCCGCGACGGTCGTCTTGGCGTCGCTCGGACGTGTGCCTTTGTCCTTCGGCGAGGGCAATCGAGGAGCATCCTTGAGCGCTTGGCGAACAGAACCGCGCACGAAGCCTAAGAAAGCACAGGGAAGGGACGTCCGAGCGGTGGCCAGTGGGGGGGGCGGCGCCCTCTCCGGCCCCACGGGATGGGCCCTGGGACGCACAAATAAGTACACACCACAAGTAAAAGAATGCACCATATTTTCCCATATTTTCTGGGCTCTTGCCTTCCCCCCCAATTCCCATGTTTTCCCGCATTTTCTTGGGAATCGACGATTGATGGTGTCTGTGTGTTTTTTCCCCTCCAGCCCCACGGGAAGAGCACAAGCGGAGCTGCCAGGGCGCACCCCCGCCCCGCGGAGCACGCCGCGGCGGGGGGCCCTCCGTGGCTCCGGCCGGGGAGCGCGAGAGAGCGCCCCCGTCCGGGCGCGCTGGTCCAGCAGGTCCTGGAGCAGGAGGAGGAGGAGGAGGAGGAGGAGGAGGAGGAGGAGGAGAACCCCCAACAGTGACACGTCGATTGGTGAATTGTCCGTTTTCGGTTCTCGAGAGGGCGCCGTGGCCACTATTTTCCAGGCTGGCGCCCGCCCCGTTTGGGCCTCAGGTCGTTTTCACTAAACCACGTTTTGCTAAAGGGGGGTCTGTCCATCCCCGATTTTTCAAGCCCAGGACTTCTGTGAGGGTCGGGGACGACGCTGGGGTGGTGTGGTGTACACTTTTTCCCCGACGTCCCGGGAAAACAGCGAAACATTGTGTACACCAGCACCCCTCGCGTCCCCGAGTTTGGGGGGAATCGTGATGAGGGTGATCAGGTTGATCAGGACAATGATGGCAAGGTGGAGGAGGAGAAGCACGAGGAGGAAGAGGAAGGGGAGGAAGGCCGTGACGTGTGTCAGATTTCGTCTCCCCATCTCGAGGAGCTCTCGTGGAGCTCATTCGGACCATCTTTAGACCGTCTTGGGCTTGCTGTGGGGCATCATCGTGGGTCCCTCGGGGCCGTCTCTGGGCCCTCTTGGGCCGTACTGGGGCCCTCTTAGGCCGTCTTGGGGCCCTCGTGGAACATCTTGAAGCTCTCTTGGCCGTATGGAGGGTGTATTGGGGCCGTCTTGGCGCCGCCTTGGGCAGTCGAAGGGCTTTCGAAAGCCGTTTGACAATAAACTGCCCTGCATCCTTCTAGACAGTGGTAATACATGCAAAAAAGTCCCCATACACTTCAACGAACTGTCCAGCCAAAGCCCTTGTTTGAACAGGAGCCGCCCTCCCCCATCCGTGCAAGTGTTGTCCAAGATTCCAGGGGGTCACAAACGAGGCCACATTTTGAACAAAAACCGCCCTTCGTCCGCACAGCAGCTACAGATCGTCAAGCTTACAGAACTTGGTTGAGAAAGTCTCAGTCGTTGGCCACACATCGAAATTGAACCGTCTCTCATCTCTGTAGCTGTTGCAAACGTGTTGCACGCATGCAAGCGTCGCTAAGGCGAGAGCCACATATTCAAAAGGACTATCCCTCCATCCCTGTAGCTTTTGCAAGCTTGAAAAACGAGTATGCGAGGTGCCTGAGGCGAGAGCCTTTTTCTGAAAACGACAGGCCGCCTCCAGGCCGTCCACATCTGAGATTTTCATTTGATTTGTATGACGAATGCGCATGGCTCTACGGCGAGGGCCGTATGTTGAAAATCACGCACCATCCATCCTTGACATGGTTACAAATTGTTTAGACGAATGTGTGTTGCGCGAAGACCGGAGCCCGATTTTGAAGACGACCAGCCCTCCGTCTTTGAAGCTCTGGGAGCTGTTGTTCGCGGCAAGGCCGCAGGTTGCAAAGACGTCTGCAGCGAAACGTCCGGCTTGACCTACGGACACGTCTTGTGGTGCGACAGGGGGGAGTGACGTATCGAAGACGCTTACGGCGAATCACCGCGCCCCCTGCCTTTTTGGAAGCACCTGCGTGGCCGAAAGTTGGGTTTGAGCTTGGCCAAGCTATCGGGCCACGCGTTTCCCGAGTGGGTTTCGAAAGCCTTCGGGGAACACGGTGTCGGGCGAGCTATCGGACCAGGTGGTTTCCGAGCTTTCGGGCCTCCTGGAGGACGTCTTGGAGGGGTCTTGGGCCGTCTTGGAGGCCTCTGGCGGGCCTTTTGGGCAGTCTATGGCCATCTTGAGGCCATCTGGGGCCGTCTTGGGTGCATCTTGGAGCCATCTTCGCTGTCTTGGACGCCTTCTTGGCCGTCTTGGAGGCATCTTGGAGGCCATCTTCGCCGTCTTGGAGGCCATCTTCGGCGTCTTCGGGGCCACCTTGGGCTGTTTTTGGGCTCTTCTCGGAGCCCTCTCGGGGGCCTCTTGGGCTGTCATGGGGCCATCTTGGAGGCCTCTAGGGCGCTCTTGGGACGATGGTGGGGAACTCTCGGGCCGTCGGAAAGCTGATAAGAAGAGAATGCCAAAATCCTTCGAAAACCTTAGGACAATTAATGATTTTTGCTCTTTCGGGCCTCCTGGAGGACGTCTTGGAGGGGTCTTGGGCCGTCTTGGAGGCCTCTGGCGGGCCTTTTGGGCAGTCTAAGGCCATCTTGAGGCCATCTGGGGCCGTCTTGGGTGCATCTTGGAGCCATCTTCGCTGTCTTGGACGCCTTCTTGGCCGTCTTGGAGGCATCTTGGAGGCCATCTTCGCCGTCTTGGAGGCCGTCTTCGGCGTCTTCGGGGCCACCTTGGGCTGTTTTTGGGCTTTTCTCGGAGCCCTCTCGGGGGCCTCTTGGGCTGTCATGGGGCCATCTTGGAGGCCTCTAGGGCGCTCTTGGGACGATGGTGGGGAACTCTCGGGCCGTCGGAAAGCTGATAAGAAGAGAATGCCAAAATCCTTCGAAAACCTTAGGACAATTAATGATTTTTGCTCTTTCGGGCCTCCTGGAGGACGTCTTGGAGGGGTCTTGGGCCGTCTTGGAGGCCTCTGGCGGGCCTTTTGGGCAGTCTAAGGCCATCTTGAGGCCATCTGGGGCCGTCTTGGGTGCATCTTGGAGCCATCTTCGCTGTCTTGGACGCCTTCTTGGCCGTCTTGGAGGCATCTTGGAGGCCATCTTCGCCGTCTTGGAAGCCATCTTCGGCGTCTTCGGGGCCACCTTGGGCTGTTTTTGGGCTTTTCTCGGAGCCCTCTCGGGGGCCTCTTGGGCTGTCATGGGGCCATCTTGGAGGCCTCTAGGGCGCTCTTGGGACGATGTTGGGGAACTCTCGGGCCGTCGGAAAGCTGATAAGAAGAGAATGCCAAAATCCTTCGAAAACCTTAGGACAATTAATGATTTTTGCTCTTTCGGGCCTTCCTGGAGAATGTGCTGCGGTCGTAGAGGTGGTTTACGCTGCTTTGTGCGGCCTTTCGGGTGGCCGGCGGGACGGGCCGAAGC